AGTTAAAGATAGGCTCATCTCACAAGTATCATTTAAGCAGATGGGAAATGCTTCAAGCTGCATAAATGGAACACATGTAGAGTTGTGTATGTCAGGCACATCTGTATGGCTGCTGACTCAGTGACGAGGAAGCACAGCTCCAAGTCTTGCACACTCAGCCACAGCTTCATTAATGTTGCTGACAGACCTTGGTTAATTAGCCCTCTGGAAGGGCAGTTGTTTTTTTCTCCAGAGACTCCAGGAAGGAGAATCCTTTAAGGACAGCTGTTTGCTAACTTCTGGGTCTGAGAAGTGGTTTGGCTTCCTGGATTGAAGGGTTTCTCATTCTGGGGAGGTCAGAGATCTTTCTTCTCCCTGACAGACAACATGCCATTTAGGGGGTCCAGTTTTCCAGCTAATTTTAGAATTTGCAGTAGTAAATCATTTAGTGAAATATTATATTAATTTTGAGTTGGATTATAAAGCAATGCCAATAGTTTTTAGACAAAACACCAGCACTTTTGTATACAAATGACTGAAATCCTTTAAAGTAGTCACTTACTCAAAGCATAGTTGGAGTTCCTTTTGTGTTATCACCTGGGGTCAATTTGTAAGGCACACTAGATACTTGTTGCCAAAATGATTATATGCAGATCACTCACCAGATTTGGTTTTGGGCTTTTGCAAAATTCGAATCGATTCTACCCTGGGAGATAGTCCAAACAAACAATTTAAAAACTGTCTTGAATGATGATTTTACTCTCACAATGAGTACAGAGTAATCTCCAGTAATTACTCTGAAGGGGACAATACTCATCTGGAGTGTTAAGCTCTAATGTACTGACTTAAAAAAGTCAGGGGCGCCTGGCTGGCTCAGTTGAAAGAGCTTACGACTCTTGATCTGGGCGTTGTGAGTTCTAGCCCCATGTTGGGTGTAGAGATTGCTTAAAAATGAATATATAAATAAACTTAAAGAAAAGCCAGACATAAAAGATGGTTGGTGCATGTAGTTTCTCCAGTTGAGATCAAGTGTGGGATGAAATAAAACAGTGTGTCTCTCGCTATCTCCCTCCAGCAAGTCTGCCACATTGGTGGGAAACTGGGCCCTAAGCACAGTAGGTAATAACATCTTCCTAGCCCAGCCTACATTCAGAAAATCTTCAAAACTAAATGTGGCTCGAAGTTGTTATCTTGTTTCAAAATTTCAATGTATACTTTCTCTTTTTAATCTCAAAATAAAATATTTAATTTCTCAATTTTGCTTTTTTCTGTTCTAAAGTTTAAAACGATGAATCATATTATTTCTTATTGCAATTAGTTTGGCTGAAATAACATCTTCTGTTTTGCTTCCCATTTTAATTCAAACTCATTATATTTTAGCCACTGCTGTAGGTGTTTTTTCAGTATATCAAATAATATTCTCGTATGTAGTTATTATCTAGATACCTAGGATGATTTTCCAGATACATTTTTTTGAAGTTGAGCTGTCCTCCTGCTTTGTTTTTATATTTAGATACACAGCACTAGGCAATTTTTATATTTACAGTAACATACCCCCCTAAAACAGGAACTAAATGTCTATTCATTTACATCAGATTCATTTGAATCATTAAAAGTGAAATACCCAAATTGATGATGGGGAAGAGAACAGTTAAGTGTTTTGATTGCCTTTCGACCACAAAAACATTTCTTAGTGTACTGAAGCTTTAGTTTTCCTTCTCCCTGGCCCCTGGCTGGGGAGGAGTTGAGGCAGAAGGGCAGAGGCACATGAGGTCCATCTCGCCAGGCTGAGTCAGGCCAGTGCAGCTGCTGGCCTGGGCACAAGTGTGGGCGGCCACCTGTGGCTCCCGGCACAGCTGTTTGGTAGAGGGCCAGCCAAAGCCCAGTCGGTGGGGTGGAGGCAGGTGGCGAATTGGGCGGCCAGTACATTCTGGCATGGGCTGAAAGAACACCTGGTTCCACTCTGTAGACCCACCACAGAAGGTCAAAGAATGTGCTTGCTTGGCAGCAACCTGATGGTCCAGCTCTGACTGAAACAGAGAAACCCACCTTTCTTGAAACTTACCCGAAGCCAACACAGGAATCATTCTGCTCCAGTTGTGTTGAAACAGGTCAGTGAGGCCATCGGGCATGTCTGGAAATGGTGTGGGGGGCTCTTAGACAGGAACAGGCTCTGTGATTCAAAACAGGACATTTCATGGGAGGTGAGAGCCTTCTCTTGTATTTGGCTGCCAACTATCATTGCAGACACCATATATCCTGGAATATCTCTGACCTTCATTTTCCTCCTCTTCCCACAAACTCTAACTACAGGCTTAGAAACCACTTTGGGTCCCCATGTATAATTTTGTCACCAGACATAGGAATTTTCATAGTGAACACCACCACCTACAGAGACAGGAGCCCAAAGTTCACCTTTTCCTGACCCCCGAAGCCCCGCCCAAGACCTCAGGCCCACTGCTTCCCAGAAAAGCATTTCCTCCGGCCTTATGAGTCACTTTCTCTCTGGTAGAGGAGCATCCTTCCAAATTTCCCGGTCCCAGATGTAGATCAGGCAGCAACCGTCCATGTGCCAAAGAGGTGACACTCTCCTTATTGGTTCTGTTCCCACTGGAACTTACTCAACCTTTCTGAGCCTCAGTTTTGGAATTTGTAAGTAGCGATGGACAGTATTGTCCTCATAGTTTTGTTGTAACCCATCCAATGAGAGAACATATGTTAAGTGACTAGGATAGAACCTGTGTACAACAGGTACTCAGCAAATATTGGTCATATAAATGAATGACCATGGCTGATGCCACTCTCTAGACACAAAGAGGCCACACCTGGTCTGGACAGGCCCTGGGCTAGAACTCCCTGCCGACATCTTTGCTTGGGATTTCAAGGGCCTCATCTCACAATTACTGCCCTGTGGGTCCATAAGGTAGCCTGCTATGCACAAAAGCCCTTTCTGGGCACAGACCAGGCCTTTCCAAGAATCGCATTGGCCTTGAGCTAGTAGAAGCCACCACTGTCAAGCCATTGACCTGAAGAAAGCAGTCTGACTTCTGGGAGGCCTGCGGCTGGCGGGATAACTTGCCCCTTTTATGTGAAACATCTCTAAGGTAACATATCCAAGATAAGGTCCGAGAAGAGATCTCTGGATCGAATTTCACAAAATCTAAAGTCTGGAGCAATGAAATCTTGACCGATCAGGCATGATGTTCTGTGTCCTGAGGTGAATGGGAATATTCAGGCTCCCTAACCCCTGGACTCTGGACATCAGGTGCTATTACCCTTGTGTAACCACACAGTGTTGTTCTAGTAAAGATAGATATTGCCCTGGAAATTATCTTTCATCATCTATGCAGCTCAAGACTTTCGGTGGGCTAACAGGAGCCATCAACCAAGAGACAGTACAAGCGCAACCTTGGTTTCCCCATAGAGTGGAGCCAGCCCTCACCCTGCTGTTCGATTTCGGGCCTCAGATACTCCCTGTGGATCAAGCGAGGGACAAAGAATGCTAGAAATAGCCCTCTGAGAAAAAGATGGAAGACCATTTTCCTTTTAAGTTACAGCTTAGAGTTTTCAAGTCTGAGGTACAAAACCATTGTGAACCGCTCTTCTTTTTGAAAACATGTTAGTTTATTCCACACATTCTGATGATATGAATGAGACAGAATTCTGAATGCAGCTTCTCTGTCGCTTTTTTATTCAGGGACTGATTTTTTCTCTTTCTTGCAGCCGCTTATTTAGAATTTTCCAGGCCTCCAGGACTGTGACTTTTTTTTTCCTCCCTGAATTACATTTTTCCCCTTTCTTTTAAAAGTAATGAAGATTACCCTAGTCACACCAATTCACACATTTTTGTTACAAAGATCAATAACCAACTTTCTTCCTAATGCACCTGAAAAAAAATATCACCTGGCCTTTTGGAGCATAAAAGCTTAAGGATGATCCTAGTGCTCTCTGGAGAGTGGCAGAGATCTCCACGGAGGGTGGATTGTCCTTGAAGTTAGAGCCCTAAGTAGGAAAGTACCCTTTAGATATTTCGAAGGGAGAAAACAGTTAACTGGAAGCTTAAAAACAACTGTAGATGAACAGATAGACTCGCATCTGAGGAATCTAAGCTAAGGCAAACCTTATTTCTCGTTATTCCCCCTTTCCCAACCCCTTTGCAAATGCAGTGGGAAATTGATACAGCTGGTCCCAGAGTCTTCTCGTTCACTGAGCATTCATAATACTCTAGCCACATTTGGCTCCTGGAATGACCCTGAGGAAATACTCTCCAAGACTATCCAATCACTGCACCTGATTTCTTCCAGTATATCAGATTGAATGTGTGTGGGGGTGGATATGGAGGAAAGCAGACTGAAGCACAACCTGCTTGGGCATTCCACATCTTCCTACATAATTGATGATATTGTCATTATGAACACACTCAAATAGCTAAGCATGCAGGAGGGTCACCTTCCTTTTAGTTGCTGAGTTTCAAAAATTGCTGAGTTACCTTTGCATGTGATAGTACACCCCAGCTCAGCAGTGGCTGAACCATTAGTTCAGCCTCAGAGGAAATGTCTGAAGGTGGAAAAGTATGTCCCTCATGTTCCTATGCTCTCTGTTGAATCTGAGTGGAAAAATCCTTCTTCAAGTTATGAATACTTTTGTTCAGCACCTTTTCCACAATGAAATATATTACATCCTCTTCTATGCTAAAGAATTTACATGGAAAGCAAAAGGAGAAGGGAGGCAAAAGAGTCATGAGTCTATCTGGACTTCCTTTCTAGGGTTAGAATAGCTGACTAGTGGCATCTGGGGACAGAGATCCACTAGAAATACCCAAAGCCCTTGTATTTAATAGCACTGAAATACAAATAAATGCAATCTCTGAGGAGGGTAGTAAGGATGCAACAAATTATCTCAATCCTGGATACTACCTGGATAATTTGGACAGTGTAGTGTGGTATTCCAAAGGATAGATTCCCCCTACTGCAAGTTTAACACCAACTTTTCAGGGAATAGACAACTTTCATCTGAATCATTCTTACAAGCTGAATTTTTATTTTTACTAAATTATCTATGTTAAAAAAAAAAATCTGTGCCTGGTGTGGAATTTCACTCCATCAAGTGTTACAATGACTTTTTCATTTTCATTACAAGCAGGAGAATGAATGTAGGACAAGTGTTAGGAAACATGGCAATAAATTAGAATATAATTTACAAAAGCAAAAAAAAAAAAAAGTAACAGTGTACCACATTAATACTGAGTATAAAATAATAAGCAACAACTAATCACAATAATACAAAGGTAATTTCATTCTGTATTATTAAGGATACCTATGTGACATTCACTCCAATAAAATTCCTAACGAAATGGACTGTTTGGGGAGTCATATGTATCTCAAGGGCTTTCATCAGTTGGGTATATTTACCTTTCCCTTTTTTGGCAGGACTTTATGTCAGTGGCAGGTACTGCTCTCAGCCATGGGGTACCAGTTTCCTTGGGGCTCCCTAAGTAGCCCACATAGCATGCTACTTTTGGGAAGTCCTGCCATGGTGGCTCAGCCTCCACTGACAATCCTATTGCTAGCATTTAGGAAGAGAGCATATCACGTAGCCACGTGGTTGACTACAGAGTTAGCAGCGGTATTGTGATGTGCTGTAGAATACGATTTGTTTCCCCACTCAGGTTTAGTCCTGTCACATTCTGTGCTCGGTTCGTTTTGCAGACTAATCCGATGCTGCGCCAGGAAGCTCTCTGCTCCTGGCCTTGCAGCACCAGCTGCCCCCTCTTCTAACGTCAGTCAAGGGAGCCCAGAGCAATGGTCCTCACAACGTTAGTTTCCAGGTGAGGCGTAGAATAGACTTAAGTCAGTAATGTAAGAAATCTTTTTGGAATAAAAACATGAGCTGATATTTATGTGGGGAAAACCAGATCCTAACAGGAAACCTATGCCTAAAATGCCACAGAAACCACTCATCTTTTATTTATTTCACCAGGGCACATTAGCACCAAGTTAACTGCTCTTTGCAAGGGACCAAGGGAATTCAGTGCTGGGGCCATGCTGCTCATGGGCTGCCTCGTCTTCACTGAATAGATGGCACTTGGGCTTGACTTCTCAGGGCAGAATACATAGGGGCCCTGGCAATTTCTGTGTATTGTCAGGAGCTTTCTCTGGCAAGCTCAGGGACGTGAGCTGTGGTGTTAAGAGAGAAAGCAGGCGAGAAAATAGGGATGACCACGACTGAGTGTGCAGAACAACATCCCGTGCTGACTGTCCATAGCAAACCTGACATTTAGGTTGGTTTTTGAAGTCTGTGAGTCTCTTTTCCTTTCTGAAAAAAGCTAATCATCTACCTTAGGTCATGGTGTAGGCGATACACCTGACATGTAGTCTGAGCACACACAGTGACGGGTTTAAGTCAAACATACTCTTTAACTGCAAGTAGTATCTTTACAAAGTAGCCATTTGGTTTGAGTTTGAGGTGTTGGTGTAGCGCGGTGTACATACCTGTAGGATACAAAGCTCATTCATCAGGAACCTGCTGCAAGCTACAAGTGTTCAAGTACAAAACATAAACAAGGACCCTCTTTTTTTTTTTTACCTTTCTTTTAATCCCACTGTTGAAGCTTTTGATGAGCATGATATGAAATTATTTGTGGATAGGGAAAATATGAGCTAGTCAATTTAATTTAGGATTCTGGATTTGATTCTAGAATTGACTTGCCCAAGAAACTTGGTTTCACATTTAATTGCCATTCAGAGTATCCATAACAAATACAAAATAGTTGGTTGAGTGACTATTAAAATTATGCTTTATGATCTTTAGGCTTCATGAGTTTTTCTTCTTTGGTTGTTATCCCTTGCCTACTTTAAAACTCACAGAAATAGCACATTTATGTGCAAGCACACTCATCTAACCCACACACTCAAAAGCGCCCGCACACACACACACACACTTGCTCTCATATAAATAAATGCCCTTCTGCCATATCAAAGAAGGGACATCTGGAACCCATCACAATTGTCAGCAAAAGGATCTGCCTGGTTGTTACTGAGCCAGTCTATCTTTTGCACGGCATCATTTCAGTAAGCTCAACACGCGTGCAACAATCCAACGGGGCAGAAGCTGCTCTGTGGCCGCTGAGGATGTAAACACAATTGAGGTGGGGTGACTCAGAGAAGAACTGAGGCATCCTGTGTGATGGCAGCAAAGGGCCTGGTTCTTCGGCTCTACCGTACCCCTGGTCTGGCTTCTGCATGAAATCGAAATGTTTTTCGCTTAAAGTTTTAATGGAAATCTCAGCTTCACTTGCACAATGGCAAGTTGGCCACAGTCTTTTAGCACAGAATTTATAGACTTGCACAGCGGCAGTAACTGATGCACTGCCTTCAGCTAAGTCCTTCACTGTTGTTCGGTTTAATAGAGTTTATACATGGCTCACAGCAGTGTTCAGAACAGGGGGATTATTCCTAAGGAAATTAAGTGGAATGAAGAAAAATAATACAAACTTTCATTACTTTTGATTTATAATTGCTCCTTAAATTACAATTAAAAGCCCGTTTTAGAATTTAAATTGTGGTGCTGTTGTAGTGAGATAAAGTATAGTAAATATTTTTAAGCTATGACTTAAGATTTCTGAATCTTCTTTTACTTCCATAGTTGACCAAGTCATAACAGCTACATTTTAAACAGTTTTAAATACAAATGGATTCAGTGTCATTGCTAAGTCCATAATAAAAAATATCTTAATGGTCCAAGGAGGTAAACAGGCTATTGGATTTACTCGAAAGAACACAAACGTTCCACAGTAAGCAAGTCTCCCTGTGTTGTTTGGATCTCTCCGATCTGGCATTCCCTCCTTAATACCGTGTCCAGCACTTTGGATCAATAAATCCCACTTCACAGAAGTTAAAATAATATTGAAATCCTGTCAGCTAGGGCTGACCAGTGGTTACGTTTTCCACAGGGTAATGCATTTGCAAGGCCATCAATCCTCTTCCTCTGGGTGGCTCTCTTTGATGGACGCATTTCCATGATGAAATGACAAGGCGCTCTCTCTGGCTTTCCATGGGTCAGTGTCCTTGGCAGGTCTTACAACACATCTGTCTGAAGTATGCTCGACTACAGAACTTGAACTTCAGCACCAGTGGGCAATAAGCCACTTTGTTCACATCTTTGCACTCTAACGAATGGGGGCAGAAAATGGAAAACAATTAGAGGCACATAAACAAGTGCATAAACAAGCCAATGGGACTGCATGTTCGGCAAGGACCCCCTTGCACCAATCCACCTTGGCTTCCACATCCATGTGGTTTTTGTTTTTGTTTTTAAGCATACCCTGTCTGGTACAGCCTACCAGAAACATTCTTTTGATAGATTTTAACACAATTTAAAAAAAAAATGATTGCAAGGCTTTTCTCCCAGACTTTTATAAGTATGGTACATGCCCACTGTGTCTTGAAAGAATTACCATTTGTTGGGATAAGTGATCACTTTAGACAGCTTGGAAACATGAGTCATTTTTCTTACAGCGCTTTTATTGCTTCTTTCTCAAGGGTTATTTTATTCAGCAGTGCAAGGTTATCCAAAATCAAACATGAGTTGCATTGTTTGATACCAAAGTACACATGTCTCAAGAGAATCTCTGCATCTGTGAGGCGTGGGGATGGGCCTGGGTGAATGAAAAGGATTGCTGACAGTGGCCTAGATTCAGCAACTACACTAGACAAAGAGGAAAACTTTGAGGGGTTGGCCTCAAATGGCAGCAGTCTGTGGGTTATGGAAACATGTAGAAATGTCTTTTTTTAATTTGGAAGTGAGACATGGCCTTCTTTTTTCCTATGTGTATTTTCTCCTCAGTGCTAGAATTGCCACAGTTGAGGTCTGTAGTTCTTGCAGCCAGAAGGTGAATAAATGATTCTTTCTCCATCTCCCCTTGAGGCTGGTTGCAGAAGATGGGGTGAAGGGGCCAGTGTAGAGAAAGGCACACCAGTCTTTGATCCTCAGCACCCCTCTCACCCCCCAGATAACCCCACTATTTCTAATAATGATATTCTTCTCTAGTCCTCTGGTCACTTGTATCTGGGGATTTTAAAATACTTTGTAAACCTGGTAATTAAATTTCCATATGCCTCCCAGAATCAAAGTTCCACCCTCATTTTTCCAGGTGGTTATACTGAAGCATCCTGGGTAAACTGCTGAAGGTATTTAGAATCAGGCAGAACCCTGGGTGAAGTTCAGTGTAACAGGACAGTTTTGTCATTGTTGCTTGCTTATTTGCATGTTTTTCCTGGTTTCAGAAATCCACTGAAGTTCTAAGAGATCATATATATGGTACACAAGGCATATGATAAACTTGAGAAATTATATGCGAAGGAATGGGAAAGTTTTCCATTATTATTGAGAAGTAAGGTAACAATTTTATTGATCTCACATTCCAGGCTCTTTCAGTGAAAGACTTAAATTTTAAACGGGAGCCCTCAATCTTCTGCAAACATAAACGCTGTCACCAGCAAACTCCCTTACTCACAATTTGACTTACAAAGAGAATAATAGTTAGAAATTTGAATAGAAACTTTCTGCACTAGGATTCTCAGTAAATTTAAGTTTTGGCTGAAAACTTAAAGAAGAGAGACAAGAAAAATTTCTTTAAACTTTGTACTAAAAAGAAATCAGATGATATTTTGTGAATCAAGTATGAATTTGAGGTGAAAAGATCTCCACATATTTTAATTTGGAGGTCACCTGGCATTTTTTTTTTCCTTTTCCTCTCTGTCATGACCAGTAAAAAGTAATCAAAACAGGTTTAGACTAAGAATATTTTTGTCGGGGGGAAAAGGTTTTATCAGTGTTACCAAGAGGGATATATTGTCAAGGTAATGCAATTATTAAAATGATGAGAAGGGCACCTGTGTGGTTCAGTGGGTTAAGTGTCCTTCAGCTCAGGTCATGATCCCAGTGTCCTGGGATCAAGCCCCCTCCCCATCCCCCACAGGCTCCCTGCTCAGCAGGAAGTCTGCTTCTCTCTCTCACTTTCCCTCTGTGCTCTCTCTCTTACTCAAATAAATAAATAAATAAAATCTTCTTTATAAAATGAGAAAAGCCAACACAGTATCATTCATCTTTAATTCCAAATCACCACCTTAATGGGGCAGCCCACCAGCAGAGACTACCCCTCAGAGTTGGCAGTGGGGCTTGATGGATCGCGTCAAGTTCAAAATAAATTTTAGCCAAAATATAAAGATGATTTAGTTGATAGATAGAGGAGGATTGGTTGCTTTAATAGTACAAGGAAATAAAATTAGAAGCCAGGCTGCCCTGGTTTAATCCTAGTTTTCTCATTTACTGACTTTTTGACTCTGAACAGCCTCTCTGTGCCTGAGTTTCCCCCTCTGTAAACAGGGATGATGAGAGTTCTCACTTCCACACATAACATGTATATCCTATGATGCCACCTGGAGCAGTGCATACAAGGTTTATGAGCACTTGATAAGTGTAAAACATTGAATTACGACTGTTATTACCACTATTAGTTATTACCTCGTACCACCTGATAACAGTAAGTTGTCCTTTGACTTTCTCCATGAGGATGCAATATTTAGATTACTACTGAGAAAATGCTGTCCTATTGACACAAGTCAGTATTTTCTGGGGTTCAATTTTATTGGGAGATTCATTACTCCATTTTTGGAAGAGTTGCTGGTCCAGGAAAAATCTGAGATGAGCAAAATACAAGCAAATTCATAGATTTTTCTTTTAGATTTAGACCTTGGAATCCGATTCCATAACAGATAACTACTGAATAAAAAATATTCATAAGTTGTTCCTCCCTCCAATTACCCCACCATCCACCCAGTCAGGCTATTACAAATATAAATAACTTGGGATTCAGCTTCTTAGGTGGGTGCTGGAAATGAGAGGACTCTCTTCAGCATGCAGAGACCCAGAGCACAGTCCTTTGGCCAGGAGCAGTGTCTAGCCTCGGGGTAGGCTAGAAGCCAGCTGCCAAGGTGTCCCTCTCTGAACTTTCCAATACCCCTCTCAAGTTAGTTGCCAACTACGGTGATTCCAACCAGCTTGACTGAAAGCAGGAAGTCATTTGGGTCCTGGGAGCAGAATCTAGCTTAGAGAGGTAGGCACTCCTTAAGAGCGCATACGAGTTGCCTGCCCCAGCACCATAACACAGTGGTGAGGAATGGCAGACCTGGAGTGAGCTGGGCCTGGGGGTGAATTCTGGAGCTGCTTCCTCCCCATATTTGATTGTCCTGGGCCAAGTTCCTTCACCTCTCTAAGCCTCAGTTTCTTCCTCTGTGCAGTAGACACACATGACAAGACTTGCTCACAGGATGTGGTGAAGTGGGGAACACATGGGATAGTGCTTACAAAGCGCATGCCCCTCTCCACCCTACCCCCTCCCCTGGCAGCCGGCACAGAGGAGTCACTCAGTCTGTTAGCTCTCATTATCACCACCAACACATCTGCCTCTGAGATCAACCATTGCGTATTATGTCTCTGGGATCCCTGTCAAAATGTACCTAGGCTCTCAGGGAGGGTTACACATTGGCATGCATAAGCAAATTAACAAAAAGATACTAAACAGAAAGCAGGTAAATCATAATGGGGTGGGGTGGGGAGAGATGGGGGAGGAGCCAGGACTGGGGCTGCCAAGATGGGGGGCAATAGGCCTTGATGAGACATTAAAATGGAGACCCAGGGGCTACCTGAGGACACGCAGCCTTGATGCACAAAGGAAGATCCCTGAGGAAGAACCCCATTCCTAATTCTTGGTTTTGCCTTCTAGAGACTGCCCAGACAGACAGAATCAATCTTTGTATTGATGGAAATCTATTTACTAGAGAAGATCACCTGTGACTGGTCTTTCATTCTCTCAGCCTTTAATGTCACAAGAGCTTAATCCAGTAACGATCACATTAAAAATAATTTATTAAGGGCCTCCTATGTGCCAAGAACTGCTTGGTGGTTTTACATACTTGTATATTTAATCCTTTGATGTATATAAAACATCAGATTTACATAGATGGCAAAACTGAAGCTCACAAACATTAGGAAAATCAGGCTGGTCGCACAGCTGGTCAGTCTAAGAGCTGGGGCTAGGACCCCTCAGTTTTGGCAGCATTCTTGGCATGAAACTACAAAAAGGTTTCTGCCTGTTAAGACTTCTCTATTCTTGGCTGATACCAAAAGTCACAAGTCAACCCTTGGGGGCATTATCATCAGAAAATTTGCTCTGCCACCTTAGAGAAAGGGGAATTAAAAAAAAAAATAACCTACACCCAACAGGGGCCTCGAATTCACAGCCCCGAGATCAAGAGTTGCATGCTCCACTAAGCCAGTCAGGTGACTGGAGAATGAGTAGGGTTTTATAAAAGGAGGGTTCTAGGGCACCTGAGTGGCTCAGTTGGTTAAGCAACTGCCTTCAGCTCAGGTCATGATCCTGGAGTCCAGGGATCGGCCTCCCTGCTCAGCAGGAGTCTGCTTCTCCCTCTGACCCTCCCTCCTCTTGTGCTCTTTCTCTCTCTCAAATAAATAAATAAATAAATAAATAAATAAATAAATAAATAAATAAATAAATAAAAGGTGGGTTCTAGGTCACAGGTATTTGAAATAGCCTGAATACTTTTCTTCAGCTTTACCTTCCTCCTTCAATTGTGTAAAATGACATAACTGAAAGGTGATTTGAGATACACCAAGAAGTTTTAAAGCCCCACTATTACAGAAAGCTGAATGTAATCTTTAAATATATTAGGAGAAGTTTTAAATTATACTGGGGCATTCAGCCCATCTGCCACTTTTTTAGCTTACCTAGAGAGGATTGACTTGTTGACCTCTTGAATTGACTCACTGACATTCTGCTGATGTAGTCAAGAAGCCTTAATTATAAAACTTACTCACTAGCCTGCTTCATTCTCAAAGCCATTAAAAATATGAAACAATATAAGTAACGAATCACTCAATTCTATACCTGAAACTAATATTACACTGTATGTTAACTAACTGGAATTTAAATAAAAACTTAAAAAAAGAAATAATCTTCTCACCCTTGAATCAATACACAGTACAGTGTAAATTACATTTGCGATAAAAACCATTCTGGAAAAGCTCTGCATAATTAAACCACAGTTTCCTGATGAAATAAAAATAATAATAAATGTTCTGTTTTAG